ATATTCTATTAGATAATTTTTAATCCAACTATTCTTAAAAATTACAAGAAAATTTTATTTTTTCAATATCACTGAAACAACTGTGCTTTATAGCTATAATACAAAAAAAAAAAAAAAAAAAAAAAAAAAAAAAAGGTATACATAAATAATAAAATACAAAAAGATACATATAACTTATTTTCAATGATTATATACATATTTGATAAAAATTATAAATTTTAAATATAAATACAAACCTTCTTTAGATGATATCCTATAATTAGGATCATAAATCAACATTTTTGAAATTAAATCAACTATAGATTCCTCAGGAATTGTATTTTTTATTATATTTTTCTATGAAAAATAATAAAAATGGGAAAATATGTAAATTATAAAATAAAAAATATATTGTATATTATATATATTTATAAAGCATATTATTCAAAAATAATATATTAATTAAAAAATATAATTTCTTAATAATTTTAGTATACTTCAAAATATGGGAACATATTAAATCTATCTACATCTTCTGCTGATATTTTATTTTTATCTCCAAGTGTTAAATAAATTAATTCAAGCTATAAGTGAATATATATATATATATATATATATAAATAGTTATTATATTAATAACTTTAAACTTTATGAATTTACTTGAGAATAATCATTTTTTCCTGGAAATAAAGGTCTATATATATATAAAAATAATTAAATTTTATATATGTGAAAAAGAGAATAGAAAAATGTATATATATATATATATATATATATATATATATATATTTGTATTGTAAGAAACTAGAACGAATAAGGTGATATATAATTCTTTCTTTATATATATAATTTTTTATTATTAATAACCTTCCTGTTATTAATTCCATGAATAGGCAACCAAGACTCCATATATCTACTTTTTGATCATAACTTTTTGATTTTAATAAAATTTCTGGAGCTCTATACCATAGTGTTACAACTGTTGGTGTCATATGATTACTTTTTTCAACAGACATACCTAAATCACCTAATTTTATTCTACCATTAGAATTTATAAAAATGTTTTCAGGTTTTATATCTCTATGTATATAATTGTTAGAATGTAAATAACTTATTGCTAATAACAATTCAAATATGATATACTTTATTTCTTTAATATTCAAATTGTACTTTTTTGTAAAATTCAATAAATCTATATCACAATATTCGAATGTCTTTTTTAAAAAAAAAAAAAAAATAATCATTTATAAAAAAAATTGCATATAAATATTTTTATTAAATGTGTATTATGTTATTTATAAAAATATATATGTGCATATATGTATTTTTTATTTTTATATTTTTTACTAGATATAAACAAGAATTCTCTAAATTTTCTCCCTTTAATTTCTCTTCAATATCCTTTCCATAGAAAACATATTTTAAATCTAAATATAAAAAAATTAATTCAAAATAATGTATAACATTTATTAAAATTGTATAATTTTTATTTTTATTTTTTTTTTTTTTTTTTTCCTATAATTCTTAGCATACTAATTATATTTTTATGTTTTATTTTTTGAAGTATTGTTAATTCTCTCAAAATACTTTTACTTATCCCATAATTTTCATCACATAAGTTTTTTATTTTTTTTATGGCTACAAAATTATTTTCCTTTTTATCTAAAGCCTTATATACTATCCCTATATATATTATTAAAATATATATATATATATATGTGTGTCAAATGTTTTTATATTAATATATTTTGTAATTAGTAAAAATTTTCACCATATGTGCCTTTTCCTATAATACATAAAAAATCAAAATTTAAAATATCGCTTGTATTCATTTTAATATTGTAAAATTTAATTTTTTTTGAAAATAAATCATTTTTATTTGGTTAATATACTATATTTGACATTTCACAAATTTAAAAATAAAATTTTATTATTTATTTCAAATTTTTAGAACATTTCAATATTATTTTTATTCATACATATTTTATTCAATTTAAATTCTTAAAAAAGCATTATTTTAAATGATGTCAATATTAATTAGATTATTTTTAAAAGAGTGTAAGCTTAATTTGTAATTATATTAGTTCCATTCAGTTTATGTAGTTAAAAAATTTCAATTTAAAATTATATTAAATCATAACGTTTCTTTATCCTTTTTTTTTTTATTCTCAGAAAGATTATAACAAAAAAATGAAAATTAAAGAATAAACAAAAAAGTAATGAGAAAATGTTAAAACAATGTAAACTATTAATAAATTAGAAAAATGGGTATTTAAAAAATTTTAGAATTCTTAAATTATGTTAGTTGTGTATATGAATATTCAAAAATTAAAAGAACTATTTTTCTTTAAAGAAATACTTTCAAGAACCCTTAAATTTAGCATAATTTTTCAAGAATGAAAAATTTTCACGTGTAGATGTTTTGGAAAAAAAAAAAAAAAAAAAAAAAAAA